TCCTAAAAATAATTTTTCTTAATATGCCGTTCCTAAATAAAATTTCCTAAAATCAAAATTCCTAAAAATATATTGAAAATAAGGTATTTATTAAAAAGATGATACAACAATGTTGTGACTGAGGTGCTTCGAATAATCTAATACATTATCATCTTCTTTGTATTGGTGATACTGAAGCACATTTGAAACAATTCGATCTTGAGTTTCACGCCATTCCTTTTTCGGAGCAGATTTTACAGCCCTTCCAAGACTTAACTCAGCAACAGATATTTCTGTGTCGCATTGTTCTGTTTGCATCTCAACCAAGAATGAATATAAATCGGGGTGATTTTTCCCCACTAATAATTTAAACCGATTATGCCAACCTTCGCTGCAATTATTAGTTTTTTGTTCACCGTTCAAACAAGCTTCATATTGATTCTATAATTGTACTGGGTATCTTGGAGGCACAGCTTTTAGTTTGCTGCTCTTGGGACGACCGGTGATATAAGTTTTTCCGAAGTATTTAGCGATAACTGACAGAGCTTCAGGCATCGAAGGCGAGTGAAAGCTTTGCGCACGTCTGCGGTAGGCACAAATGCTAATGCCATCAGCATGTGCGAGTACAATTTGATTTCAGTAGAGGGGTCGGTGTATTCGACTTGTAAGCCATTTTCTTGCACGTGTCGATAGATGCTTTGGCATAAATGGTTGAAACACCCAGCATAAGCAGCATCGGGGAAACCTCGGGTCGATTTTTTTTCAAAAAATACGTTTTGAGACAAAAAAAAATGATTCGAACCACGTCTCTGACGAGTCAGTACACTTCCTTGTAGAATTTTTCAAAAATCCCCAAAAAACAGTGAAAAAAACCACGTTTTTCAACGCTCATTTGTCGCTTGGCACCTCCAAAAATTTTTTTCCGGGCTAAAACTTTAGGAAAAGTCTTTTTTTATGTTGTTTAATAACATATATTTTTTTCAAATTACACCGCTCACACTTTTTCAAAAAAGTAGGAGAATGACCCATATACATTATATATATTGAGGCGTTTCTTATGCGAGCGGCGCAGGTTTCCAAGCTACGTTACAAGTACGCGCGCGTAAGAAACTTAAATTACAAGTACTCGTCCGAGAGTGCTCTCTACACGTGCCTCAATAACGAACGTGAGAGAGGAAGAGAGAATATGTTATGCGCAGAACGCAGTGGGTAAGACGCTCGGGGATTTTGTATTGGTGACTCGCACTAAATAATTACATGTAAAATAAATATGTATGCATTAAATGGGTCAGAAGGACCGTGAAATAACTATAAATATCAGAGTATTATGTGAACAAATAATTATGTTTTATTGAAGATGCAAATTATAGAAATTACTATTATCGGAAATGAAATACAAATGAATTTAATTAATATTCTTGAGTGGAGCAGCAACTCTTCGGTTACTCGCTGATTACTCTTAGAAAGAGGCTTAATCAGGCGTCGTAACCTGTGATGGGTGAATGAGATGGTTGTGACTGAATATAAATTGTTTTACCTTATGCTGTGTCGACGTATTCGGCTCTGCCGACGTGCTGGAGTGCGCCTGATTCTCGTTCGTGTCCCTACGTTAAATTACGAGAGGATGTCACACACGGTACGATAGGATAAAGTAAAAGAAATATAGAATCGTCTATCTAGTCTCAGCATCTAGCACGATTGAAGTAGAACTTAGATTTTGATTGACATATTCTATATGACAAGGAGCTAACGGTATTCAACAAATATGTGAAACCTGGTTCGGCTCTCTTGTACTGAGTTATCTCTGCAATTAGCTAACGGTATTCAGCAAATATGTGAAACCTGGTTCGGCATGTATTGCAGTGATAGGATGGAAAGGAAAACTCCCAAGGATTACTTACATCAAGACGGAGATTCGAGTAAAAATAACACAAATTTATCCCCCTAGACGGTACCTCACGGTTGGATGCACTTGTACTCCGCGAAACACTAATGCACCCACGGCAGTGCAATTACCGCACTTGCGACAATTGCTTACACTGATTATCACTTCACGTTGAACCGATAATCAGTTCAGTCAGCTATTACGAGAGTCGTACAGCACCAAGTGAGTGTTGAACGTGATGTCGCAATAGCTGGACTTAGAAAAATTCGAGGCACTAGTAACGAAAATTGACTAAGTGTCGCGAATTTGAGTGAAAGAAGAATAATAATTGTAATGGTGTAGTAATAATAATAATATAACAATGTAATAAAAATAATAATGAATGCGCTGCGCCCTTGACCTAGCTTTTATAGGCATGCCGGCGGGTCACATTCGGGGGTCGCTCTCGTGCGCTCGTCTCCTTCTCTCGCGTATTTCGCGGAGTGGGATGCAGTGCGTAGGCTCCTCACTGCGCGCGCGTGCAAGTTGGTGAGTGAGTAGGGGAAGCTCGCGTCTCGCTGCTCTCTCTCGTCTCTCTCTCGTCTCGCGCGCGTCGTAAGCGCGTAACTTGACGATTTTTCATTTTAGCTCCGTTGCAATATATACCTGGTACATAACTTGTAAATACAAGGTATATACATTATATCGACGGTGCTTATGAAGAAAATCCCCATTTGTAAAACTGCAGCATAATAGTTTTTTGATGTAAGAATAACCCCACTTTTTTAAATCTAATCATTACAAGTTTTTGGAAAAGTTTGAATTACGAATCGAATTAGTGATTTTTATCGCTGCATTTTGATAAAAAAGAGAATTTCTTCGCTATAGGAATTTGTCTACATTTAAACAAGAGATAGTCTTCGTTAGCACTGACGATATATACCTGGTATATACCTTGTGAAAACTTATTTTATATTTCTTGCTTTCTTAAAAATTCTTTCAAAACTCTGACTAAACCGAGCAAGCGAGGTAATTCGCTAGTATGGATTAAAGTGAGTTTAATATATTTAAAATGAACAAAACTAAAAACAACAATTTATCTTTTTTTTCTCGATTTTTCGTGAAACGTTTTTTCGCTATATCTTCGGCCCTGTTTGTCATAAAATGTTCTTAATATAACCAAATCAAAGGTTATTTTGTACTCTTCAAAGCTAAATAACTTTTTATGGGGGTTACGACGGCTTTAATGAGAGTAAAATGACACAAACTGTTAGAAAAATGACAAAAATCTAATATTCTCATATTTTTTCAATGTTTTTTAGCATCTAATATTCTCATATTTTTTCGATGTTTTTTAGTATGACCTCAATCTTGCCTTACTACTGCTCACTCAAAAAAAAAGTGAATTCGTCAGCTCCCACAACCGATACACAATCTTTTTCCAATATTTTATCGCGTTTACTAAATTTAAACAACAAATGAGTTGACCTTCAAATGACCTTCAATGACCTTAATATGTCCAAATTTAGTCAAAATGACCTAGGATTCTAATTCAGCGATCCTCAAAACATAAATGTGATATTTTTCGGATTTTAATATTTAATTCTCCGAGTTTGACCTTCAAAAGACCTTAAAGATAAGGTCGTAAAGGTCATCTGACTTCAGATTTGAATTCAGCTTCCTCAAAAACCTACATAGGAATTGTTTTAGATTTTCAAACTTTTTTTTCGTGATTTGACCTTAAAATGACCTTCAAATAACCTTAAATCGATTTGATGATGAAAAACTGACACCAGATTCAGATTCAGCTACCCCAAAAACATAATGTCCACAAGGTCCGGTCTCTAGAACTGAACATTTTTTTTGTATGCCTGTGTAATGGATATGCTATGAGTAACAAAATATGTCTTTGAAGTTTAAATTTATGCAATTCCTTGTCTGGCTTGCTTTTACAATGTTTGTCAAGGGCTCGAAGGGGGCTCAAATAAATATATATTTCTATTTGTAGCATTAAGCTGAAAAATTTTTTTTTCAGAAATCAGGCATGAAAACTTTTTTTAATACCCCATTTGAAAGTACTTTTTCCAGTTAAATACTTAAATTAACTGGTATAAGTCTATAAACCTTCAGCGATAAGTATTTGGGGTATTTAAATGGTTTGCCGTAAGATTTTAAGTGTTTGCATTACACAACTAAGTTGTATGTCATTTCATTTTCTTCGATGGATCATTATCCATCAACGCAACCTCAAGCTAAGCATAAGATCAACTTTGACTATTTCCACATACAATTTAATAAATTATTTTATTCATGAATGATTATTTTTGATAAATTTTAATAAAATATTCTATTAAATTGTATGTGGAAGTAGTCAAAGTTTATATTATGCTTAGCTTGAGGTTGCATTGATGGATAATGATCCATCAAAGAAAATAAAACCACATGAAATTTAGTCGTGTCATGCAAACACTTGGAATCTTACGGTAAACAGCTTAGATATCCCTAAATGCTTATCGCTGAAGGTTTATTGACTTATACCAGTTAATTTGAGTGTTTGTAAGTATTCAACTGGACAAAGTACTTTCAAATGGGGTATTGAAAAAGGCTCTTATTCCTGTTTTCTGAAAAAAAAATTTTTTCCACTTTTTCAGCTCAATACTAAATAGAAATATATAATTATTTAAGCCCCCTTGGAGCACTTAGTAAAACACAAGACAATAATTGCAAGCACTTGGACTCAATTTAGATATTGCATGCTTCAAGAGTCAATAGAGTCTCAGAATTTAATTGTTTTTCGTCTAAAATAAAAGAAATATTGGGTGTCCCGAAGTTCTTGCGTATATAAATATTCATTTCAGTACATCAAATGAGTTGTTTATAAATACTCTTTCGAAAATTCACAACAGGGCCATTAGTTATTTTTCATCTTTGAAATGCACGAGAAATAAAAAAAAGTCAAGCCAGCATTAATATGCGCAATAACGGAATCACTAAATAAAAAAAATACTTTAAGCTGTGGAGATTCTATGAAAAGTTAAATTTTAAAATTAGATTGTTTCAAAAGTCTATGCAAAGTAAGTGACATCGAATACACATATGGATTAATTAAAAAAGGAAATTTTCGTTATCTAAATTACTTCAGATTAATTATTCTTACCATGCTTCATCGCTGCCATGTGAACCTAATGAAGTATTCAAGTACTAAATATTAACTGTTATGATTACTTGTATTTCTCACTGCTAGTATCGAAATTGTTCATCCCATCAAATAATTTCAATTTAATCTCCATTTTTCTTCAGAAATCGTTCATCAACCCAGAAATCTTATCTAAAATATAAATTATTTGATTATCATAAAGTTATGAAACATTTATTTTTACGCTAAAATGTGTAGAGTAGACTACTTCTTATTTCCTGAGGTGTTTCGATTTTCGCTTCAAACCTTGATATTGGTTCTCAAGGCATGAAAACTGGGGACCGGTAATTAGAGGTATCAGTTAATGGATTACCTGTCTCGACAAAAAACACGCACACACATACATGTGTTATGATTTTGAAAATTATAGGTATCTAGGCTACTTGTTAAGTTACTTTAGGTTACATAATATACGTCTGCGATACTTGAGAAATAAAACAATCCTTCATTATTCGATATTAGCAGCCGGTGTGATCGGTGCCCTCACGAAGATCATGCCCAACTCTGGCGGACCCAGAAGCAGCCGACGCAAGCTGTATGCTCACGTCGTCGACTCCATACTCCTGTATGGAGCCCCCATCTGGAGCTCAGCAGCACAAAAGCGAGTTTACACTCGCCAGGCGGAGTCAGCCCACCGACAAGCCTGCCTGCGTGTGATAGGAGGCCGACCGCATGTCTCCTACGAGGCCACATATGTCCTTGCCGGCATACCACCGCTGGTCCTTCTTGCGGACGAGCGAGCGCGACTTTACGGCCGCCTCCGAGAGGACGCAAAGGACGAGGAACGCTTGGGATTTTGAAAATTATATGTATCTAGGCTACTTGTTAAGTTACTTTAGGTTACATAATATACGTCTGCGATACTTGAGAAATAAAACAATCCTTCATTATTCGATATTAGAAGATTATATACTATAGCTGGTACTCATTTGTTAATGATATCGGATAAAAATTTCAAGTTTGTAATAAAAAAATATTGAGTGCAATTTAAGTTATTCGTATAATCTTATTTAATAAGGAGAAATTTATTTGACTAATGAATTAAAATTTTAAATGTAAATTTATCAGTTTCAATAAATAAAATTCATAGTTGTTATTCTACTTATAAAAAAGAGAACGGCCGAAAAGTGAGACTGCGTAAAACAGCATCTACGTTCCTATCTACCTAAAGCAAATCTTCGTTCATTAGAACTTACAATCTTTGAAGTCAATATAGTTAGACTTACAATAGAAGTTACAATCTTTGAATCTTTAAACCGTTGAATTCGAATTTTCAGAGAAACTATGAACACCTATAACTTCAGTTCTAGAGCACTTAAAAAGTTTTTAGACTAACCAAATTAAAGGTTATATTATGTTCTTTAAGACTATACTACTTTATTTAGGACTTCGTTTGGGTTTAATATGTGTAAAGTAAACTGAGAAAAAATCGATATTTTTCATTTATCTTGCAATTTCCGAGAGCCTCTAAACCCATATAACTTTGGTTCTAGAGCACTTAAAAAGTTTGAAAAACAATCAAAGTAAAGATAATTTTGTTTTCTTTGAGACTAAGCTACTTTAAATATAGGCCAAAGTGTAAAATGAAAAAATAAGAAATACGTGTGCTTTTTTTTATTTGTAAATATGTAGCAAATTAATGAATGAATAAATGAATAAATGAATTATATGATAGAAAAGTCTCAAGAATATTTTTATCATTCAATAATGATCAATACTTCGTGATAGAATATTTGAAAATAAGAAAAAGCATAGTTATTCGAATTTTTGTACATTTTATTTAAATCTATTCTTAAAGTATCACTCGTATTTCTTATTTTCATGTGTCACGAATCCCTGGTCCAGATTTCAAAATTTCTAGATGTCGACCCAATACAGCGCATGCGCAATATCACTTGAAAAAATTTGTGCCTCATATGTTGTTTTCGAAATTGCCGCCAAGTAATTGACTGGCGAAAACGCCAATAGGTGTCGCATAGTGGCTTATAGCAATTCTTGCATGAATTATCTCAATCGTCATCTATACAAGTACAGGGTGTATTCGAAAGCGCAATTATTGTATTGTGACATCCGAGTTAACGAATATCACAGTTTTTTAATTTAGAGATTCTTCGTCACAGAAATAGTTAAAAGGGAGTGATTGAAATAATAACATGTGTACAAGTATTGTTATAATTATTAAATGACTTACATAAATATATTTAAATTCACTCTGATCGCATACACACTCCAAATCTGGCTTCCTCTTGGCTCGATGATAATCTTCTCGTACGCTGTCCCGAACGATGTTGAATCAACGATCTTCAGAGGATGAACTACAATAACTTGGGCACCCACTTAACTTGCTTAGAAAAGACTTTAATTTCAAGAACTATTTAGACTTTAACTTTTAACTAGACTTTGACTTTGACTCTATGTTCTTCTGAATAAAACTTTAGACTGGACTTAGATTTGAACTCTATGTAGGGCTTATAGATGCGACACTTGCACTTAGACTGCATGAGTCAACGGTTTCTGGACAACAAGCCAGCAGCTGACCGTCTGCCTCGGCAGAGGTGCAGCTAGGTTGTCTCTTCTCTAATACTTGCGTTGTTACTGCTCCAAGTCTAAATAGAGAATAAGGGCTCGATTGTCTTAGAGTAGGCCTTTTTATAAGGCTCTATGGTTGGTCCCTTTCTCCCAGCTCAGACCCAAAGATAAGTCTTCGCGACTCTAGAATCTTCTCCCAAGTTTGTCGATGGTCCACATCTCTTATTAGATCATAAAACACGTGTTATACATTCGTGTGTTCTAATCATAAATTCCTCAAGATAGAAAGAGTTTTATTATCCTGTAACTTTAGATATCTGATCTTTTGTATTATTACACATTATAAAAATTCAAGCTTTGCTCAGATTTCTTTATGATGCACTTTTTAATCAATAATTTCATGCACATGGCTATAATACAGCACATATGCGTTATAATAGTAATGTACGTAGTATATGACAGGATAGCCATGTTTTCCATACCGACTGAAGGTTTGGCTTATGCGAAGGTGAAAATGAACCAAATGATGACGAAAATGATAATTTTGACTATTTTGTTAAGTACGATCGCGAATATATACCCGAAAATGAAATATTATACAACAATGACTTTTATTCTTTGATAAAAGACTTCACAGGATTGCCTAGTCACATAGTTAAAAACACCCCATTGAACGGTCGTAAACCTATAGATTATTTTGAACTGATCATGGATGATAATTTATTAGAAGTCATTGACCGAGAAACAAATCTCTATCAGTTTCAAAATCCTGAACCAGACCGCCAAAAAATGAAAGCTTGGAAAAATTTAGGAAACGACGAGTTGAAAAAATTCTTGGGCTTAACTATTTTGATGGGGCACGTCAAAAAAGTTGCCCTCGACGATAACTGGAGCCTCAATTCGTCGTTGGTTACTCCTATATTCCACCAAACAATGCCTCGAAATCGGTTCGAACAAATTCTACAATTTTTACATTTCCAGAATAATGAAACCCTCTTGAATCACCCATTGAAAAAAATCAAAACCATCATTCATGATCTGAATACAAAATTTGCAAACTTTCTCCAGACAGGGAGAAACTTAAGTTATGAGAAAAATCATATGATCTTATATTGGCGTGATTAATCATACGATTTTTTATATGATTTTGCTTCCTCATAGAGAAAGCTTTGTGATGGGCTCCATTTCGGCTTTTTTATAGAATCATCGTAGGATATATTTAATGATATTTCTATATACTAGATCGAATTTCTGACACATGTTGGTAAGCATGGGTGTGTGTGTGTTTTTTTTTCCTACTCCACCCCATTCGGACACTCACCGGAATCCGCCGTTAGGCATTGCTTCGGTGAGGCCGGGGTTAGTTGAGCATTTCTGCTACTTCTGTTAGTCGTTGTTTTCCATACATCCCCCATCCGTCGCATAGTGATATGCGACGATTAGGGGTACAGGGACTCATCTTTTTTCTACTTGGTGAACCTCCGATCCTGCGCGATGTCATCGTCGATTGTCGTATCCCCTTCTTCAGAGCCGTCTGCGTGGACACACATTGCTGACATCTCCTCCTGAGTTAGGCATCTTCTTTAGAACTCGCTGTCTAGTGCCATCTTGTGAGTGTGGTTCTCGCTTCCGGCGCTACCCTGTGAGTGCTCCTCCTTTTATTGTAGTCGTCTTGTGAGTGTGGTTCTCGCTTCAGATGCCATCATGCGGCCGCAAACGAGCCTAAGCTCCCGCATCCGGCGCCCTCTTGTGAGTGTGGTTCTCGCTTCCGACTTCATCATGGGAGTGTTGTGCTCCATCTATTGCCAGCCTTGTGAGTCCTCGCCTCGGGCTCCTACTTATGGTTATCCTATCGCTTCCAGCTCGCACAGTGATCGGGGTTTTTTTACCGTTTCGGAGGCTGATGACATAGCCCGAGTCTTCTTTTTGAGTGGTACTCGCTCCACCTCGGGCACGGACTCGACTACACCAGGCGAAAAAACGAACCTCGAAAATTCGTCCGGTGGGGATCGAACCCACGCCCTACGGCGTACCTTGTATCAGCAGGCAAGAACTATACCCACTGAGCCAAGGAGGCCGATGTGTGTGTGTGTGTGTGTGTGTGTGTGTGTGTGTGTGTGTGTGTGTGTGTGTGTGTGTGTGTGTGTGTGTGTGTGTGTGTGTGTGTGTGTGTGTGTGTGTGTGTGTGTGTGTGTGTGTGTGTGTGTGTGTGTGTGTGTGTGTGTGTGTGTGTGTGTGTGTGTGTGTGTGTGTGTGTGTGTGTGTGTGTGTGTGTGTGTGTGTGTGTGTGTGTGTGTGTGTGTGTGTGTGTGTGTGTGTGTGTGTGTGTGTGTGTGTGTGTGTGTGTGTGTGTGTGTGTGTGTGTGTGTGTGTGTGTGTGTGTGTGTGTGTGTGTGTGTGTGTGTGTGTGTGTGTGTGTGTGTGTGTGTGTGTGTGTGTGTGTGTGTGTGTGTGTGTGTGTGTGTGTGTGTGTGTGTGTGTGTGTGTGTGTGTGTGTGTGTGTGTGTGTGTGTGTGTGTGTGTGTGTGTGTGTGTGTGTGTGTGTGTGTGTGTGTGTGTGTGTGTGTGTGTGTGTGTGTGTGTGTGTGTGTGTGTGTGTGTGT